ACAGCACAGTACAGTGTACATGTACTAGTAGTTGATGGTTGTCTAATGCAGATGTACATGTACACATGTACATTGTATGTGTATATGTGTACTTAAGGTGTACATGTATGCTCTGTTCTTGTATATGGTGCTCACATTTTGCTTCATGTTGGTTTGGTTGTTACTCGTGTCATTCGTGTTTGTCATATTTAAGTTTTTGATGGAACATCAAGCCGAATTCCAACAAACACGTACAAGGGAAATTTTGTCCCCAAAACTGCTGTAGAAAGTTTATGCGTACACATTCAAATTATTACCTTGATGTTTTCAATGTACATGTATACACATGAAATATCAGATTGCCCATTCATGTGCATCAATTCAACTGCTGTGTTACATGTACATGTAACTTCTGAAAACCCATGATTATGAATGCGCGCACGATACCGTACACATATGGGTACATCTTCAACTGTCCTTGCTAGACTTCTGGGAGTAAGTTCAGAGAACAGAGTTATGTCGTATCACTGATAGTGATTTTAGCCACCGAGACTTGCTTTATTGCTTGAGCACCTTTCATTTCCCATCCTCAGCATTTGCATGTACAGCATTGGTGCAAGCCACAAAAAACAACTCTTTTACTCACCGTACAATTTATCCACCGTACATTACTGGCCTAATTGATTTACCCTGTATAAACAAGCAATAAACTTAAAGCTTTTAGCTTAACAAACTTTATGCAAGAGGGAAGAGACTGCTTTTTCCAAAAAACTGCTTTTTTCCTCACTTGTGAAGATAAAAAACCTGCAATGCAAGCCATACAGAGTCAGCCATAATCTGACTGAGCTTAAGTACATGTACATTGGACCAGTGAATACAAGATAGAATTCAGTCCTACATACATTTGTATATGCGTCTAATTCTAGACCAGCTTGTCAATCTTTGCTTTGCTACATCCTCCAAATCATTTCGCTTGTATCTGAAGAAAATGCCCTGATCTTTTAGGCATGAAAGTGTTGTACATCTGCTCATGCCAAGGAAGAGGTACATTGTACTGCTTGAATTATATTTCTGTGGCTGGCAATAAGGTGCAAGTCTATGGGAAATGGTTACATCCGCAAGCTAGAAGCTTCCATAGGTGCACATGTAATTTCTAGCCATAGCCAAGTATTTCAGATGAGGCTTCACATGCAATCCTCTGACGTACAGATATGGAATCTTGCTGTTCACTCCTTTTTAAGGGGCTGACCACGGACAAATCACTTGGCTATGGCTGAAAACAATACACAAGTCTGTAGGAAATACGTGACACCACTAGCTGGCGGCTCCCATTTGTATTAATCTCTGTTCAGCATTCTTGTTATTTCCAGCTGGAGCAAAGTAATTGGGTGTTACTCCTCCAGTTCACTCAGTGTAGTAGGGTTTCTACCTACCGGTATCAAGCTGAATGGCTATAAAATATCACATCAAAGGAGCCTAGTTTTGACTCTTTGACCTGTTCTTGCAGATATATCCAGCAAAGCCATGAGTGTCGCCGACTACAGCCAACGGGCTGAGGACCACCAGCGGCTATTGGTCCTGGTTAAGCCCCTCATGCAGCTCAAGACCAAGTTCTATGCCCGCATCATCGACCGCGTCACCAGTGTGACCTACATCCAGCTGCCGGACTCCAAGCGTAGCATGTGGATCCGCTACAGGCAGCACATGCACCTGGAGAACAATGATTGGGGAGATTTCCAGGTCAGTATTTTCAGTCGGTTCACTTCAAATTGGAGAGGTTCTACATTTGTTCTTTGCTGTAAATATGAGGAACGGAATTAAGGTGCAGTGCCTCATCTCAAGGTGCAGAACCTCACCTTAAGGTGCAGCACCTCATCTCAAGGTGCGGACCTTCACCTCATGGTGCAGCACCTCACTCTTAGTTTAAAATGCCTCACTGTGAGGTATAGCTCTGAAGTGCCATACCTCACTAGAGGGGGCACTTCAGTGTGAGTTGCTATAATTCTTTGTAAGGTACATTATCTCACCTCATGGTATAATAATGCATATGTAGCTTTATATGAGGGACATTGTCTCAGTGGGATACAAGTCCTCTTGGGAAGGCCAGGCGCTAAACAGTTGCATATATAACTCAGTTTGCATTAAGTATATATTAACTCAGTTTGGGATTCTCAGATGAAAGCGCTATCTGTAAAACTCCAAATGCAGTGCTCATTGTGCATAGACATTGACTATGCTGTCAACTGTAGGCAAGTTGGATCCAGGACCATAGTAAACCATAGTTTGACTAACTCTGATTGAACACGCACTAGACGACGATGGTCGGACAAGTGTAGTCAACTATTCGCGACCAGCCTATCGAGGTTTGTCGCATCGTTGGTTGCCATAAATCGTTAATTGCACAGTGCAGAGAGGACCAGTTACAGTAAAAACTCGATAAGTCAAAGCCTGTTAAGTTGAAACTCCGTTTACCTCGACGTCTTTCTGTATTCCTGACAAAAGCATAGGCCTTCATGTACAATAAATTGTCCGTAACTCGAAACGTCAATACCACTAAAGCCGCTTATCTTGAAGTTTTGGTAGGCCAATTAAAAAAAAAAACTGAAGAATGATGAATAAAAAGTTATGAAAGAACGCTTGCCTTCATTATGAGTCATTACTGTCACGTGCACGGCTTTTCTTTGATGAGCCGAGCATGTTCACACGGGCTGATAAGCACTGGGTGGGCGGGCATCAACCGCAACCGTAAAAAAGGCCGTGTCCGAAACCGGCTTCCACAGCTATGGCTAGGTCTATTGTCTGCGCATCTCCATGCATTTCCAATGGAGTGAATACCAAGACCTAGCTCTAGACAAGAGATTCGGATACAGCCTAAATCAGGCACAAATGATGCGCCCTCAAGCGCTTTGTACATGTATCACGTGACCCAGTACGGAAACCTTGACCGACTGGCCCACGCGCTGCGTTATGCGGTAACAGCCCGATCAAGCAAAGCAAATGAATGAATTCTCAAGACGTAGACACAGGTACCGGTACATAACTTCATTGGTTTATTGTTTATTAATGTACCACATAAAAACATGTTTAATGATGATGTTTGAGGAAAACTTGCACTGTAGGGATAGCCTAAAATCCACTTCATGTTCAACTCAGCTTGCAGGCCAACTGCCGTAAGCCAGTAAGGTTGCATGTTCACTGAAGCAAGTAACTTTCGATAACTCGAATGTCGGATAACTCAAACTTTTCGTCCATTCCCCTGAGCTTCGACTTATTGAAATTTTACTGTATAAGAAAAATGGTGGACAAGCAGTATGTCAATGGTGAACGACCATTTTCACTCTTAGTTTTGCTATCTTGCCCTTCCTGCTGCCACCTATTTTTCTCCCCTTCTGGTCAATGATCTGACAACAGTTGACTAGGGTCATTCGCACTTCAACTTCACCGCACAAACTCTAGGTACGTCACGAACCAACTTCTAGTTAACCAGTGGTCTTTGATTGAACTCGGCCTGTCTTGCTAGCTTACCAGAGCCAACAAGCATCCTGAGGTTGTACTGCCTCATTCTGAGTTCCCTGGATCACTTCTGTAAACGGGCTCTAACAGATGCTGTTTACCCTTAGAACTTTCGCTTTTTTTTCTGTTGAACTTGGTTATATTAAGATTTGATAATTTGATTTTTGTGACTTTTGGTTTCTGGAGTGTGTGGCATTTATAAAAGCCATAAGGTTACACGTAGGTGAATTTGTGTAATTGCTGTTTGATTTGTTTTTTTCAAGGTTCATCGACGTGTTGCTGGTGTGATCTGCTTGGGAAAAGCAACATGTGATATTGAACTGGCCACAGTTTATTCAAACTTTGAAACGCTGAAGCAAACGTACCGCTACACCCTGTTTGATGCCAGGTGCTTCCTCTTTGGAATGACCCAAGCCGAGGCTGAGAAAACGGCCTCCGGCGCCCGGCCAGACGTCATCTATTACTCGGGACTGGACAACTGTGAACAATTGGAGGATCATGTGAAAGACTTTCTGTCGTCCCTGTTCTGGGTGCTGGAGTCCAAGAGGTTGGATCGGAAGAACGACAAGAGTGACCGCCTGCCGTTGTTGATGGCGCCCTTTGAGAGGAAAGATATGGTGGGAATTGACACTGAAACAAGGTGAAAATAGATTTCTTAAGGTGTTTACATGAAAAAAATATATACAGCTGTCATATCTCACCAAGAATTTAAAGAAATCTGTGAACTTGAAGTTATTTTACTTTAACCATTTCATTTTGGGGGATGGCTGAGCTTGCATTAAGTTGTTGGCTCGTATTTGTGACATTTTTACACAAAAAGTAAAGAACAAAATATAATTCCACTGTTGCAAGATGTCAAATTTGTGACACAGGGTAAAAAAGAACCTTCACTTTTTCTTGCCCCCATGCACCAGAAAAATTGAGTGTTAGTACGTGGGCTTGAGTGTGAATTATCAATGACCCTGACTTCAGAATACTTCGTTTATTTGGGCTAAAACACAGTTTAAATAATATATTGATTTATGCAGTTTCATAGTTTTATCGAATACTACTTCTCTCTTAAGTTCAAACTTCAGAGCCACGCATGTACAGGCCCATCACAAGTCATCTAGTCTTAATTCACGAGCTGTGTAATGAACTCTGGCAAAGACATTGCGTTGTTAATCCCTGTAACTTGTGAAGAGACTTGTGAATTTGTGATTTGACTTGTGAATGACTTGTTATGAAGTCGACTACAGAGCTGTGTGACGAAATAAGTGATCACCAGACATGCTGGAAATTGTACTCACGTTAAGCACGAGTCCTACTCAAGTGGCCTGTTGCTGATGTTCAGTCGCTGTCCTTTTCAGAACCTTCAAGCGTAAAGTTCAGGGAAGAATGCGCAAACACCTCGCTGATCTGCACCTCCTAGCTTGCCTGACACAAGAGGCATTTGTACACTACCAGTCTGCTCTGGAAATACTCAGAGGTGCTAACGACTGGCTTTGGATGGGAGGTACATAGGCCTTTAGATTCAGTTGAACATTTTAAAAGTGGAATCAAATTTTCTGAGTGCCTCACAAGACACTTTAACCTCATAAATAGTTTACTAATAAACAAGACATTTAACGGGCACCACTCATGTGTACACACATACAAGTGGAGGAAGAACATTTTTAGACTTCTCTTGTAGTCCATCTTCATACAGTAAGCAGTGTTTTCATGGGCATGATGCGCTGACTAAAAATGTTTTCAAAAGCAATGTGAATTGTAAAGGCCTCAATTCGCGCACATTGTAGAACTGAGTGAAAATATGAATATGAGTAAGCACATGTACATGTAATGTCTAGCACTGAAGTTATTTGTTCTACACACACTAGACCTCACACAAGGTTTTTACTCAGTGAACCTTGTGTAGACTGTATCTACTTTGGTCTTGCACTATCTGCTTTGTTTTTGCTCTGCAGCTTGCTGGGAGGGCATGTGCGCTGCCTCAGTCATCCAGCTGTACCCACCCAAACCCAAGACGGGCATCCCACGGAACGCCTCCTTCAGTGGGGGCAACTCCCTTATAGGTGGACGGGTACACAGATCAGGTACGGGCCATTTTCTAACTGTGGCTACCAACTGTAGCCTCGGAATCATGTGGCAGACATTCCGAAGGGAAGTACATGTACTCTAAACTGTGCTACTTTCGTCTACTGAATTTGATTAAGTCAAGTAAATTAGTTTTTGGTACTCACCTACTTCTCAACACACGCTGAGTTTTTACCTGTCTCTAACAAAATGGGTGGTCATGAAAACGAGTTTAATACACTTGAGTGTTTACAAGAGAGTAACAAAAAATATCCATCTGGTATCTTAGTAAATCTGCCATTTTGAAATAAGGGTCAGACAAGATGATCTAATCTGGATGCAAAAAAGTAGACCTTCATCAAACCGCAGTCACCTGGTCAGTTTGTACTTGATGTTTCTCTCCCCTCAGAGTCGTTTGATCTTGCCAACGGTCTCCCGGACTTTGTCTCAGAGGAAAGACCCAAGAATTGTCTGTTGGCCGATGACATCGTGGAAAAGTACAAAGAGGCTATCAGCCACTACAGCAAGGTATGTGAACCACTGAGGGCGCTGTACAGAAGACGCAGTCTGGGGCAAGTTTGAGTCGCTGCCATTTTTCAATCACTGGTTCGATTTCCATTGGGAACCTGTTCACACAATATATCCTGGGTACTGGGAGAAATCAATCAGCACTTGATGAGTGGTTGTCGAACTTGCCCGTGGTTGCCCTATCTGAGGCTATGTTTGAATCAAATGGCTGTGGCTTGGAGTAGCACACATGCTTATGAGAAATAATGTAGCTACTAGCTAGTGGCTTCCATTGATGCATGTGTTATTTATAGCCCCAGTTGTAACATGACACTGCTGATCGGTTCTGACTCTGTAGAACAGGTAGCCAGCCATGACCAACATGGGAGAGTAGAACACCATCCTTACATTTCCAAACGTGCACAATTTTCTGGATGAAGGACTTTGGGATGAATTTTGTCAGCCTCGGCACTCCATAGATTCAAAATTTGGGCCAGTCTGACTGATGCTGGTTCTACAAGGGTTGAAAAACACCTTCAGATCAGAAAGATGTTGAAAGTAGCTCGTCTACTGTGACTCCTTGTTAATAGTTTGTGGATATGCCAGGTGGAGATTCTCACTTGCCTGAACTGACTGTGAAAAACGACCAAACTGAAAAATGACCTTGCTGGCTGCGTGAATTTGTATGTGATATCCAACGGTAACCATGTCTCTTTGGAATAACACTCATTGCAGTACACCAACGCTGGCATCGTTGAGATGGAAGCTTGCATCAAAGCCACACAGGTTCTCGTCCAGCAGAAGGTGAGATTACCAGTCTGGCGGTCTGTCCATCTGTTTAAAGTCTGTCCTTCAGAATTTCTGTAGCCTTTAATTGCCCAACAATGCATAGCCTGTGATGTTTTACATCAAGAATGTCTGGAGGGTTTATTTCAGTTTCAAGAAAGGCCATATTTGCAAAACATGAAACCATTCATGAGGAATTGGTTACGTCAGAGACATTTTCAGTACAGTGGCTGTTGAAACTGATTTCAAAAGGCCGGCTGAATTTACCTTGTACCGACTGTTTACCTCCGAGAGCACAAGGTTCTTTGTCACATTAATTTTGACAGCAATTGTGAATTTCCCACTGAACTTACCTAAGGAATGCACATTTCAGCTAAGTTTGCTTTCAAGTGGAATAAAGCGTTTGTTGTTCATGTTCATTTGTCTCACTAACCAGACTCTGTTTTTATTGTACTTACTCCAATCTCATTCAACAGGCCTGTTACTGCAATCATAAGGTATTTGGATGTTAAGGGAGGGTGCCAAAACTCAACCCCAATCCCGTTGGGAACTCTGTTTTTTGGGGGGGACTTCGCACATTTATATCCTTGCAAATGCTGCGTTCTCTTAACGTGCTGAAAGTTGTGCACGGTGCCTCGGCTCGGATTGTGTCTCTTGGGTTTTGATTTCTGTTGTGAAAACTTGGATCAAGTTGTGAGAACTATGGCGCATCCTCACATCATGTTTTAGTCCCCAAAGTAACTAACCGGCAACTTGCATTTCGTTCTCACAACCCAGGAACAAGCGAAGCTAGAATTACCTATGTGCAAGAGATGTGTGCTTCAACAAAATCACAAGAGTACACTGGATATTTTTGTACCGATCTTCATGGGAGTACACATATTCACATCTAGCACTTCCTCAATAAGAGTTCCCAATGGATTACATCACGGGTTGGGTGTTTGTGAGACACTTCCCGTAGCAAGCTGTGTGATGATAATGAGCATGATTATGTAAGCATGTGGGATTGTGTACTGTGCTGTATGATGGTTGGTTGAAACGCAGCAAATCCCTTGTCACTGATATACGTTTGCTGCATGGGGGATGGGCACTATTTGGGGACAGTCTCTGTTCGGGAATGGGAACTTTTTTGGGGACATCACTTGGTAGTGTCAAAGGTTGGAGACTTACAAGAATTTTTGGATTGATAGAGCAACACTAAGAACTGAAATGCGTGGTGGTTTTTGGTCATTGTATTGGCAGCAACTGTAGTTAATGTTACATGAAGCTGTTCATAAAAATTGAGGCCTTTGTACAGGAAGAAAGTGATAGGGTCTTTTGTTTAAAGGTCATTTTTGTTGAAATGCAACACATAAATAGCACAATGTTTACTTTAGATTTTGGGTTACTGCTTGAGGAAACTTCACCAAAGCATCTGGTTTTCCCACCACAGCATTTCGATAACTAGCAATACAGGTAATTCGCAATACAATGTACTAGCAAGAGCTAGCTACGAATAGGCCATTTTTAGTTCACACCTGAAAAAACATGGTATTTATGTGTGATTCTGTGGATATTTATGAGGTTTTTCCCCTTTTTGAGTTTGTATGGGGAAAGAAAGTATCTTCATAATTGAAAATAGTATTTAAAACAATCTATGAATCTTTTACCCAAACAAAAAAATGGAACAATTTAAGGTCCCCCCCCACTGCTGGCATATAAAATTTGTTGACCATTTTTGAAAAATAGCCTATCTGTATCAATGTCCCAGTGGCACATGGTGTTGTGAATTGCCTATATATCTGTGATGACATTTTTTTTCCTTTTGCGTGATTGCAAACAGATTTCCAGTTCTGGGATGTCCCTGTGCATATCTGATTTTATTTTCCTTTTGTTACCAATTTCAGTTTATCAGTATTGTTGTTGAATCACATTGTTAGAAGTTATATGAAAAGACCGTTGAAGATTTTTTTGGGGGGAGGGTGATATTCTGTGTATTGCAAATGTACAGTCTTTAGTTTACTTTTACGTTTATAACAAATACAAGGTTTTAAGATGAAGATGGTGTGATGGTTGTTTTGCTGCATGAATCGTCATACAATTACTTTCATGGATGGATGCATTGTGTCCCTTTGATTATATTTTCTTTAGATTCATAATCAATTTAGTTAAGGGTATTTATTTCAGTTGTCTGTACTTGTTATCACACCTCCCTGGCATATGAGTTTGAGGGAAATTTTTGAACGGAATTTGATGTTCTATTATTGCCTGTCACCAACCAAATTCAAAATGCATGCTGTGCTGTGGGAAAAAAGGAAAATTAAATGAGCCAATACGCACAATTAGTGTGTAAAAGGCATGCATGCGTGAACCAGCTTGTGAACCAAGACACGCGCGTACTCCATTCGTTTGCACTGCACTTTCTGGTTCACACTGACGTCAGACTTCGGCACTCTATTTGGATGAGACTTGTTACCCTCAACCTGACTGCTGGTGCAGATTTCTTACCACAGTTGGGACTGATTTGGCACAGAATTGTAGATGATACTGGTAACTCCCCATGTCCACTTTTTTTCTGTCTGCCTTTAGAAAACTTTAGAGGCTGCGGACTTTCTCCAGAACGTCATCTACATCAACGTGAACCTGAGTGACCAGGAGAAGGTGGAGCGTTACAGCGCCCTCTCTCGCCTCTTCACACTGATCGGTTTCCACCGAAAGGCGGCCTTCTTCAAGCGGGTGGCAGCTATGCAGTGCGTCACTCCCCAGAACCAACATCCGGCCTGGAACATGGTATGCAGGGGGGGACAGGGTGCCAGCCGTCAGTCACCGTTGTAGCCACATGGCAAATGTTTACAAACTCGGGAAGTAATCCTGAGTGCTTGGCAAAAAAAAAAGGTTGTACTTGGCACTGTATAAAAATAGTTCCAAAAATGTGGGATTTAGCTAAACCTGAGCTGTTTGTATTTAATTTTTCAGCTGATCTATTGCAGGAGTGTGCCTTTAACAGGTTTATTGCAACCAGGTACCCACTTTCCACATGGTCAGGTACCCACTCAACCATACCCAAAATAATGTAACCATTTCTGTACAATGTAGTCCATTTCTTCTGTTGATCCACTGAGCAACTTTTATGCCAGACATACAATATTTAGTCCAAAGTGCAATGAACCTGCAACATAATCCCATGCTGTGCTGCTGCACTGCGAACTGAAAAAATTAAGACGTTGAAAGACAAAAATTGTAATGTCATTTTTTTGGGGTGAAAGAAGAATTACAGATGCATAATTTAAACTTGTTACCCCAGCCTCAAAACATATCATTGCTTCACTTGCCATCAATATTAAAGGGGTTGTCACAATGCCAAACCTTCACTACAAATGTACAGTGTACATTTAATCAAATGTTTCATGCGTTTAATATCTTGGTGTCTTATTATAGTGCAACCAGTTATTAATGGAGGCAATAAAAGGCTACAAGTTGACCCTTGACCCCAGGGAGTATCCCACAGGTAAGGTGACGTATGGCCTTTTGTGCTGCATCCTTCAGATAATTTTGGATAATGTCGTACGCCGCAAGATCTTGCAAATTTTTGCCAGAAATCAGACCTTTTGAACCTTTTAAGTTTGTGTAATTTTTTACAAACATATTCTAAGAACTAAAAAGTATTCAATCGGAAAATATCACCCCTTGCCCAATTTGAGACCCTTTGTGAAATTACTAATGGTATCCTTGATTAAAGTGTGACATTTTGGAGTTACTGACTTCCAGACATGTTGAATCATCCTGTGTTGAGATACAGGTATTTGTTTGGTAACAAATCCATGTGGCAGGTTCCTCAAAATATGGACCATTAGATAATGTTCAACTTTGGGGGTTCATTTTTCCTGAAGTGAACGCAGTGAATTAATTCCCAATGTCTGATGTAATGAGCGAAGTCATGGCTGATATCTGGAACAATGATGACTGTGTCCATCTTTCAACTTAATTGGAGTTAATAAATTCAAGTCTCAAATGCCAGCATTTTGGATGGACGTGAACAACCTGTTGAAATGCCCGAGTATTTCATCCAGGCCTGCAGCCTTGTCAACAGAGCCCAGATTGTGCGGTGTTATACAACTGTCTTTTCAATAGGGGCCAGATTAGCGTGCGGCAGTGCTGTGTGGCTCATCATTGCGGTGGTGGAGCACTTTTGTCCCCGGTGGTAATCCGCTTGCTCTCAATGCCCCAAACCCTGGTATACGGTGTCAAAACAACGCTGGATTATCACCNAAATGCCGGTAATGCCCAGCAGCCTGGTCTTTTGTTCAGAGTACAGTCTTTGGTTACAGGGCCCTGTTTCCTTTGTCCGAGTTCAGAGACCCCGGCCAGGCATATAAACCATACGGCTCCGATTTCGGGGTCCCCGGCTGGTAGTGGTTAAAAAAGAGTGCAAAAAAGCACCCCCCAACCATCATCCTTTTACGACTGGACGGATCACATTTTCTTCAAGCGTGTTTCCGAAAACCGCAGTCCAAAATACCGATCGTGGCGATTTTGCAGCTTCCATCTCCATCTTCCAGTTTTGTTAGTGAACGTTTCGCTGCATCGTAGCCTGTTTGACCTTTGACATCAACCCAGATAATGCGCCCTCTTTTTTATTCGATATTCATGTGCCTCTCCACGGAATGGCGAAGCTCCAGGATTTTTCTCTTTGGACCAAGGTTTCTCAAAAGAAAATCAGTCATACTGAATGACGTTCGAAAAAAATTATGTTCGAGACATAAAATTCGATCCATAAGGAAAACCCAATGCACAGAGTTAATAATTTTAATGTAATTATTAGCAGGGATATCTCCAAAATATATGGCAAAATGAACATCGCGCATGGAATTTTCAAGCACTACATGTGACAGCATTTTCGGCATTCTCGAATGTTATGCAATTTTTGTCAAAATTCTCGAACATCATCAAAATTCTGTTAAATATGACGTTTGCAAAGAATTGTACTCTTTATACATGTTTGATGCAGCCGAACTTAAAGATAATTTTCAGTGGTTGAAAGGTTCAAGACCTGGCAGATATGCTGCTATAGTGAGAGTGATTATAAACGGTTTGAGAATGAAGAGAGCCAAACTTTTCTCATCATTTTCCGTCAATTTTTGCTCTTTTTTCATGGCTTATATTTTTTTTAAGTTATTACTCAGGTGCTTTAAAATATATCAGTTGAAAAATATACTGTATTCTCCTTGTTGTTGATAGAGGTTTTGAAATCAAGTCCTCTGGTGTAAACACTTTGACGTAAAACTTTAAATGAATTCAACTCCATTTGATTTGCACTGGTAGCCAACCAATGTACACATTATGCCTAATTATCCCCAAATAATCATTTTTATAAATCCAAAGATGCTAATTTGTATTTTACATGATCAAAGTCACTCTTTTAGAAGTTTTGAGAAATGACTTCCAGAGTTGCATTTTGGTCCATTTTATGAAGAACATGCCACATCCAGATTCAGAGCCAGAGAGATCTGGATATCAGAATAAGTAATGTTATTTATTTCTTGTTTAGATCAACCCTGTGGTTGGCCACTGCTGCAAACCAGAATCCTTCATGAGCTTGTCTTTTCAGCACGACGCATGGGGGAATACGGGCTGGCTGTTAGGTAACATGGCTAATTTTAAAAAGCTGCATTTGTAGCTGGCAGAGTTTTAACACTTGGGTTTCTGGCTGAATAGGACATCTTGGAAGTTCAAGCCCAGCTTGTTTTTGTGTTACATGTATAAATGTTCTCACTCAGACCAGACCAGCTTGCATCCACTTTCAGAGTGCTTTTCCTTACTTCACCAGCTTTTAGCTAAGGACCTTTAAAATTTTGCTGCGGATAACATGTTTTACTGACACGTTGCAGAGCTAGTTTATTCTACTGCCGCCACCATATTTCGGAACTTATACTGAAAGTTAAACCACTTTTAACTTTGTTTTGAAATGCAATATATTGTGGGCTTATATTATGGCCTTGATGTTTATTGTCCAATTTTAATAATTCTTTTGTCAGAATTGAAGTGTAGTGCATTTGAGTGTGGAACTAACTTATTCCACTGCTGCCACCAAATTTGCCTCATTCTTTAAATCGGCAGGATTTTGTCCTTTATGCTGCATGTTCTCCATGACCAGCTGAGCACCACCGAGAAGAGAGAGATTGCCATCAACCTAGGCACTCTGACCAACAAGGTCGCCGGTGTTCCGCATCCGATCGCCAGGGAAAATGGCACCATTATTCCAGCTGTGCCCTTCACGAGGTTTCCAACGGTGAAGTGAGTATACGTTAATAAAGAGACATGTTTATTGGGGTTCCTATCCTTTTCAATGTCATGAAATTTTATATTAAATTTTCAGGTCTGGAAAAGTCATTGGCATTTTTTAGAATGAAAACGTTGTATAAAATACATAGAATTTCGTTATAACCAACCTGTTTCTCTTTTTAAACTTTGAATATTCATAGCAAATTACTAAAGTACTCAAAATCCGATTTTTGTGCTTGACTAAATTTTTAATTGTTAGTCATTCAAGTTTGTTGGTCTGATTTGTTGTGTAATTTGTCTTTTTTCTTTAAGCACTTTCTCAGAACTTGTTTTAGAATTTTGATCTACATCTTGATAGACGAAGTCATGGCTGTGCAAAATTGTTGTCATGGAAATGTTGTGAATTGTCCTAAAGGTGTAAGAATTATTCCAACTCCACATCAGTTAATCCTCACCTTTCTAGATTCTTCAAATCCACCAGCTAGGAGGTTTTGGCATTACTGAACTTCACTACACAGTGTTAAATTCTGGAGGAATCAGAAATATTCCATCTGACAAAATGCCTGAAAAATTTGACGTAATGGATATCACTTTTTCGGTAGAAACAAGATGCTGACAGGGTATTAATTTTCAATGATTTTTATTGAAAATCTTTGTGTTATACCCCCCAGGGCTTTTCGGTTGGTTCCCTTGTCAAGACAGCTAACTCCATTATTGCAAAAGTCTAGCCTCAGTACCAGTCCTTCAAGCGAGTCGCTAGGACCGTTCATCTACTCCCCAATACAGAACAGAGTCTGCAAAGATAAGAAATTAAAACCCAGAGTTGGTAAGATTTGCAAATACACAAAAAAAGATAACACCATCAAAAAAATTATTGTTTTAGTATCATGAACTTAACAGCAGAATAAAACTAATGACAGCCACATGATGCATTTTTGCCAATAATTTTGAACAGGATATCTTTGTCAAAAAGTTTATATGACCAGAAAATGCTTAAAGTCCCTTCAAGAGAACCAGGACCACTGACTTATTTTGAAATGACTGCACCGGGTTTTGCTACAGTCACTCTTTACAACATACACCAAATGCAACTTTCATTCAACCTCAGCCATTTGTTAGCCATTACAAATCCCTAAAAGTCTCAGGTTTCTGTCGTCACAACCCCTCCACTGGATGTTTCGTGGATTTCTCTTCATCCCACTTTTGCATATTACACTAAGGGCCCAGATAAATGGTCTGGGTACAAGTATGCCCTTCATGAAGGACTACATGATTCTGAAAATTGCTTGCAGTGGCAAATGAGAGATTAAAAAATCAGACCACATGAAAAAAAAGCACAGTCAGCTGTTCTTGCTCATATGGTGGGTCCAGCATAGTAAAAGGAATAAAGATGGCCTTGTTGGTCTTTATCCATCAGATTTCAAGTGGGTGGCAGAAGATGTCTGCGAGATGTGTCTCAACTTCTACAACCCCTTACCGTTTGAGCTGCGAGTCAGTAACTTGGTAAGCTGTGTGGTAACTTAAATTTTTCCAAACCAGAAATTCCATCCAGTACACAGAGATCACAGTACTCACAATGTACATGTACCTCATCTGGATGCAGTTGTTATTGGCGATTGAAGTTCTGCCCTCAGGTATGCATTACTGAGAAACTGTTTCTTCAAATCAAGGGCTTACAACCAGAATTGCTGTTTGAGGAAAAAATGGCGTTAAATTGTTGGAACCTTTCTGAAAATTAGAAACTCCCCCAAACCAATTATCCTCAAGGTGTCTGTAACCAATATTTATGTATAGGACACAGGCATTGCTGGCTCCAAAACCTTTACCCAGTATATGCTAACTGGTTAAATGAAGCTAAGAGTGGAAAAGGTCTTGTTTAAGCCCTTGAAATAATGTCTGAGATACACTTGTGTATAATTCAGCTCAAATTTTATTTGTCACAGGGCTTTCTGACAGAAGGTTTGAACTTTGACCCCATCCCAGCCACAGTGACCTTGCCAGCAGAGTCGGGTCCTCACACCGTCTCCATTATGGGGACACCCAAGGGGGCAGGGATCCTGACCATAGTAGGTAAGAAGCAGGGTAGTTAGTGACTGAAGCTATGAAAAAAGGGTCTAAGCAAGCATGCTGAAGATTACTTGTCACATGACCTGTTCAGTAACAGAGACGTCACTGAAAATGGAATTTACAAAATGTCTTGCTCAAACTGTATTGTGACATAGCAAACTTGACTTGGTGTGGCTGGGCTAGTAATTGACTCAACTACAACTCCTGAAGAATAAGCAGAACCATGCCTGAGTCCGATCAAAGAAGAGAATATTTGAATAGTCAACCTGAAATTCAATCAAGTATTTGAATATTTGTTCCAGCAGCGGATTTTCACTCAACGTTGCCTCCAGACAGGCAGTTTTTGTTTATACTCAAAGTAACACGTTATCATTTCAATAGTTTGGCACGTTTAGCACTTTTGCCAGCACAAAGGAATGATTTATCATCCAGCAAAACTTTAGCCAATGATACAATTCAGAGAAATACTGCAGTATTTCTTTGCATTTCACCTGTGAATATCCAACTTGAAAAATAGATATTTGCATGTTCAATAAAACATCAAATTTTCGACTGTTCGGCCCAGGACAAACTCCCCCGTCGGATGTACATCCTCATATTTCCAAAATATTTGTCCACCCTGCAGGGTACACCACCAACGTCCTCGGGGTGGAAAACCACTGTCGTTTCAAGCACATCTCCACTGTGCCCCAGAGCTACTATGAGGTGGCGGTGGTGCCTGCCTTACCCCTACTGAGGGTCAAGACTTCCCTACCCCAGGCGGTCAGCACGCTCAGCCTGGACCCGGCCGAGAGCAAGACCAACACCAGCGCAGCTGTCAGTCTGTTCCAGGGGGAGAGGTCAGTCGTCATGCGGTCATCTTCTCTAACCTTCACTCCCAGGGACCCATTTACACAAGCATTAAAGGATATTCCAAAGACATTGACTCCCCTCGAGATTGTTAAGTCCGAGAATGGCCAAACTGTGCCATAAGGTGTACGGGGGATGAACTGCTTTAGTTTTCAGACTTGGGGGATTTGTCATAGAATTCACCCTGATACATCACGCTGGCCATTCAGCAGTCTCTGACAGACGGGCTGGCATGGTTGAGTGCATCCCTGTTGTTTGTACAATTCTTTCTGTGGGGTGCTGTTGTTAATGTGGAGAGGCTTTAATCAGCCTACTGAGCAGCATCCATCTTGTGTCTAAATGTGGAATACATATGTGCTGCATACCATTTTTCCTCACTGCATTGGATTATTGCTCATTCGTGTAAACAGGCCCTGATGTGGTCATCTTCTGTTACCGTTGTTGAATTTTATGACTTGCATGCAGTTATTGAAGTTTTGAGGAATGATACAAAAAAAAATTTGTGTAGATTCCAGGATCATGGCCCCCCCATTGTTGATCATAGGGGTTGCCCTTTTTTTATTTTGTAGGGGGAAAAGAACTAAGAGAGCTTACAAGAAGCGCGAGAGAGAGTTTGTGCCTCGTTAGCTGAATTTGTTGCTTTTTTGGCCATTATTCTGATCACGCTGCTGGATGTTTAGTGGATTTTTCTTTGGCCTCCATTCTCAACTCCTGATGTCGGTTGTTAAAGATGATGCATTCCTGCTCTGTTACCAAATCACAAAAGGAGACTTTAGGTTTCCATAAATGTTGCTTTATTGATACTTCTCCAAATCACTGCTTCAAGCTTAGCCATGTCTGGCCCCAATTGCATGGAATTGGTGCAGAATAAACGTACTTAACAAAGTTATCAAAAATAATATGAAAAAGTTGCTTATCATAGTGGATTTACTAAGCAGAACTAGACCTGGTATGCCTATATATTTGATATCATTTCGATAGGTTACCCTGCTGTAATTAGGAAATACATTTTTGTGCGTAACAAATTTTCATGCTTGGTTGTATTTTGTTCTTGAGCAGGATGATTTGTCAGCATGAAAGTGTAAGAGTTTTTATTCTTTTTGAAATTGTTCCCTTTTTTCCAATTATCCAAACAAATTTTCTGTGAAGATTTTTTTATATTGTTGTGTTCTTTAGTTGCGAGTGCGGAGTGACGTTAATCAATGGCGGGAAGGTTCCAGTTGAATTTCTGTCACTGAAATTAAACTCCGAATCAGGTAAATTTTGCAGGCAGTGCTTTTTGGGCTAAAAATTCTGACTTTAAAAAAAACGCAATTTTTCAAAGACCATTTTCTGATATAGGTCAAGTCCTTGCTATGTCCCATAAGAAGTTTCACCCTTGGCAACATTCAGGGATTGCAGTGGTTTCCGTTCTACTATCAGGCATTTAGGTTGTAAAACCCTCAACAAATTTCACATCACTAGTCTTTCTGATGATTGTGTAATTAAAGCAAACACTGCGTTACGTATGGGACTGAGACAAGGGAACCTATGCATGGACTGACCCTGTACAACAACACACCTCATAAACTCACTTTACTGGGATCATTTGAACTATACCACAACCTCACATTTTGCAACACTTCTGAAGGTTACCGTGGAGCAATATTTGCCGTATCATTAGCTGATGTCTACAGCAGAGGCATTACAAACAAATCCGAGGACACGCCATTCCTGAAGGGGCCGTCACACTCACGCACCTGTCTTAAGTTGAGCTCGCGCGTGCACTTTGGCAAGTCATGACCCCTTACTGGTGGGAGAGGAATGTAACACGTGCGTACCGCCTGCATGCCAACAGGATGGCCCCTCAGTAATGGCTCCCAATAGATCTCTCTCATTGGGAACTATCTTTGTAGGAAAATAACAACTGCTCATGCACACAAACAGGTGTGCTTGTGCACGGTGTGCAAATATTCTCTACACGTGTGCACATTGATCCAGATATCTTCGAAATATGGCGCAGCCGATGCAGGTCACCAAAATGTCGATGGACGTGGCAATCTGTAGGAAGTGACGTCATTCTTTGCACTCCTGCATGTAGATCTATCCTTAGCACTAGATTTGTCTATACCCACTCACTGATAGTGACTGGGGGCACATGTGGCTGTTTAACCCTGTCAGTTGTCCCTGTATATGCCGAGTGTTAGATCATGTTTACACATCCTCTGGCACAAAATGGTTTAAAAATCATTCTTTGACTGAATTTGCATGGCGCCAGACAATATTGTAATCCCCCCTTCACCATTGTGTGCACTAAGAGAGTGCTATTGCTCAAAGATATGTTTCAGAAGTGTACTTACCTTGAATGGAAGTTTTTATCTCAAGGGGCCAAGATGTAAACAGAGCCAATGGGAAGTTTATGGTTAATTATGACAAGCCATGTCCAAATCAACTGGCTGTGGCTAGAAGGAACAAATGTCTATGGGAAATGGCTGTAGCCATTATTCAGTGGCTTCTATAGGAGCCTGTGTTATTCCCAGCCATAGCCTTGACTTTTTCTGGACACACCACTATTCTTTTTCTTTTCCTTGTGCGGTACATAGGTGTGCTAGCTGATAAAGTATTCAGTTGGAGCGAGGAGAACATCCGAACGCAGCTACCTTTGCAGCCAGGGGGTCAGATGATGTTCACTCTGTACATCAAGGCTACGGGGAGCTTCATTGCCAAACACAAAAACAACTCAAATGGTGAGGACGTTTGGACAAAAGATTGGCCCATTTTGGTGAATTTTCTTTGAGGACGTTTTTAGTTCTAATAAACCTGCTTCTGTGGTCTTGTGTTTTGAAGAGATACACACATAAGGATGTAGTCATTGTGGTTGCAACATTTCTGTAGAGATTTTACAATTTCGTGTGAAGAAGTCATCGGTTGGGGGATTACTAACAACTAGTCTGGGGAGTCAGGTTGGCATAGGGGTTCTTTCCTTGCCTTTCACCTCTTTGGCCCGGGTACTGTTCCCAGCTCAACCCACCCGAACATTAGGATTAGTCCCTACCTGATTCTATGGGTTTTACCCAGAATATTCCTCTGGGGTTTTCCTCACACCTCTGAAACTGTAACTGCTTCTTAATGTCTCCTTAATTTGGAATCAAAATCAAGAACTGATACTAGACACTGTCACCTCACCGCAGGGATGAAGTAAAGTCCTGACCAAGCTGGAATTAATCTTTGGAAGTTAGTAATCTAACTGGCGTTGAGAATTGCAGCATGGGGAAAGTCAGGTTCCAAGCGGGTCGGGTGCCATTTTGGTCTGTGGGATGAACCTGATGCCGCAGTAATTCTCTATGTCATGTCGCATTATTTTCCTTTTCAGCAGACATTCCGGTGACGCCCACCCCCAGCAGAACGTTTGAGTATAGCACGCCAAAGAGTACACCCAAGCGGTCGGCGTCCTCGACCTTCTTGGAAACATGCAAACCAGACAGCGGGGAGTCGGTGGAACCAGACAGCCTTCAGAGAGTAAGTGTATGCAACATGAGTTCAATTTTACCTCTGTATTCGTATTAGAATATTAAAATATGCACTTGGGAACTTCTGTAGTTTGTTTCAACAGAAATCCCTCAAAATGTGGCAAAGACTTTTTGTTTCGTTTTGTTTTGCTTGAAGTTTTCACCAGGTCAAATTAGCAATGTAAGAAAGCTAACTAGTTGTTATACTAGTTGTATAACAATAAATATGACCAAAGGAAATGAATGGAGTAAGATTTGAACCAGTTTAATGATAAAGATGAACAAAAAATTGACTGGAGCAGGCTGCTTTCCCATCCAGCTTTCTGAGTCCTATTTTTCCACAAGACTCAATTGGATACACTTTGGCTTTGACATTTCAGACATACCTTCTTTGTCCAAACACTCAGAGTCAAATCTCTCATACTTCAAAACATTGTCCAGTTTTCCCAGCTTGCTTCCTCCTGTTCTCCCTGATATTTTGAAATACTTGTTGGACTAAGAAAAGCATTTGACTGCAATACTGGTCAGGTAATACTGAACTGAAGTGGACAAATCCGGAACCATTTATTTTTTTGAGATTAAATTCTGCCATTAAAGGGAAAAAAATTTGGTCTGGATTTACAGACTGTTGAGTCGACATTGAAGATTTCCTATACTGGTGGGCCGGGTATGGAAGAAGATTTCCACCGGGAGGCCAGCGTGCTACTTAGGGTGGACATCAAGCCGTCGGTGGTCTTCACCCAGTGGAGTGCCATCCCTGCTACGGAGTAAGTTGTATGCCCCTGTGGGTCTGTCTCCCAGTGTGTTGCTGTATGTGGCTGTATGTCTGTCAGAAGAGGCTACCCCAGGGGGCTGTGTCACTGTTTGTGTCTAAGTGTTTAGCACTGTGTCTAGGTGTTTGGCCCTACGGCACAGAAGGCAGCGCAGTTATTTGTGAAAAGAGAGAGGAAAGTATTGATATTTTATGTATTTTTATTTTATTTAGTGGCTCTCCACTGGCCAGCAATATATAAAATCAGTTTAAAAATACGCATCTGTTATACATGTAAATATTAAAATCCATAAAATTCCAAAATACAAGACAGTACAATGAAAGACAGAGACCAATCCTCGCCGAAGTAATTGAGTCAGTGTGTGGCAAGATGGAACAGGTGTCCAGCGCCTCTACCAGGCCATCCTACCACCAGAAGACAAAAGAAACTAAACTAAGAAAACAGTATGGCACATTTTGTGACGTGGAGACGAGTGTGATGGAACAGTTTTGATCGAGTGTCACATAACAAGCAGGGTCAGGTTACTGAAAATGGTCCAAGCCAAAGGCACAAGGATGCCATAAGTGACCAGACTTTGAAGTGACGTATTAAGTCACCACCTGGTTTTTAGATATGACATTTGTACCTATCCAGCACTCTGTATTCCTAAGATAGCTCTTGTCACAGAGTTTAAGGAGTCAAACTAGTCAAGTTGACAAATTTCCAACAGCATCAGCCAACCAGTTTATTGTAGTGTTCTGTGGAACACTCACTAAACTTCTCTCTGTGGTATGTGCCTTGGGTACATTGACATTTGTGGTGTGTATGGCATGACTCAGTAGAGAAGACAGTGACCTTCAGCAACATTTTTGAATCCTTTAAAACCCTCCACATGACGGGCTTTCAACCAACAGGAATACTCAAACTATTCAGGTATGTTTGCCTGCTTAAAGGAGCGCATCCTAACATTTTACTCTCTGTCTGTGCTCTTCCAGTTCCAAAGAATTCCATCTGGTGCTAGATACGCTGAATGCAACCAGCCAGGAACTTGACGTGCAATATGGAGACCAGGCCTCATTGGTACTAGGCAGTCAGCAGAATAAAAGGTGTGAAATTGAATAGATATGAATGTTGAACTTGGGTCCCTGTTCCAATCCACGCCTTCAACTATGTGAAGTTACCGGTAGGCTTGGCTCTACATATAAGCGATCTCGGGTGAAAACTCTGGTCTCTTTAGATGCTCTGTCAAAAGTAAGTTAAAAAATGATGGTTTTTCACAATGAAGATCTGGCTCTGTATATGTCAAAGTCAGCCAGGAAAGAGGGTTATTTTGTTCAGTGGCGCAGCCGAGCAGGGCTCTTCTCAAAGGGCAAGCAAAGTACTTTTGCAAGAAGCATGTTAAATAGGTCTAAATAAGTCTCATTTTTTTTGGGGGGGGAAGAAGTTGCTGTCCATGCCCCCCTCCCTTAGCTACGCCACTGGTTCTGTCATGACTTGTAACCTGCAGTTTACCGGTTTGAATCTTGATGGAGATGTTCACCACAACTTGTCAGAAGCTCAGAGTAGGGTATTGTGAGCAATGTAGGATGGCTACAAGTCAGCATGCATGGGTTGAAATCCTCGGGCGATTGCATATATGGATACATATATGTGTAAACTTGGTAGTACATGTCATATGTTTGCAAGAGTGTGCCCTGATTCTGGCCCAAGAAGTTCAGTTATAAAGGTGAACAGACTGAAAACGAATGTGGCCAAACCCCTCCAGCTCTTACTAAACACAGCAAGTGGGTTCAGAAGTCATAATCTAGTGGCTAGTATGTGGGATGGAACTTCAAATCAGTGTTGTAGCTGAGTGCTTAACAAGCACTCCACTTGTATTTTTCACTTGTCATTGGACATAGTGTCTCAGGCACTGTCATTACTGACAGTGAGTGAGCAAGAACAAGGGAACACTTCATATGAATAGCGTCTGGCTTTTATTGATCTTAGTTGCGTTGTAGTCACCCACTTGACAGGTGTTCTGCAAGTATTTTTCCGAAGTCATTGTAAATACTATCGAAAGGACTCACTATTAACCACTTGCTGCCGGTTGGATTTTTCTTGAGCAAGACAAGATGCCGGGTCCTTTTCAAGATTCTCTGTTTTCAAAATTCTTCAAAAATTCATCATTTTGGGCACTACTCTGAAGCTGACAGGTAAAATTCATTGACTCCTGAATATTTCAGCCAGGCCTGCAGCCTTGGAAAAGAGCCCAGATTGTGGGGTGTTACGTAAGATTCTTTTGTTCCCAAAACCGGCACCATGCACTGCTGACCTCTTTTCAATAGGGGCCAGATTAGCGTGCAGCGGTGCTGTGTAGCTCATCGCTGAGGTGGTGGAGAGCTTTTGTCCCCGGTGGTAATCCGCTTGCTCTAAATGCCACAAACCATGGTATACTGTTTCAAAACAAGGCTGGATTACCTCCACTATTGAGAGCGAACAAATGTCGGTAATGCCCAGCAGCTCAGTCTTTTGTGCTGAGCATGGTCTTTTGTTATAAGGCCCAACTCTTTTGTCCCAGTTCCGGGCTCCCCGGCTCTGCATATAAAGCCTATGTACCCGAAAACGGGTCGCCTGGCAGGAAGTGGTTAACAGTAAATGAACAACAAAGGAATGTCACTGCTACAGTTTCATATGAACAGCTTGTGTCAGTTATCGAGGCTGGGGTACTACTGATATCCTTGGGCAGCCTTCCGAATATTTTTTAAGTAAGTGTGAAATACTTGCCTCTATTGTTTGGATTAAGCTTCAAAGAAAGAATGGGCCACTATTGTCTTGTGCTATGGTGAATTTTGGACAATTCGAAGAAGGTTCCGGGAACAGTCACCAATGGATTCAGGATCTAATGACAGGTGTGGTGCTTTTCTTCTTTTGCTTCTTGAATGGGTCCAGGTTAGCTGTGAAGCTGAAGCGCTTTGTCGTGGCCCAGCCCAGGAAGCCGACCCTCAACGGCTTCACCGAGTGTGACATGCGGCCAAGCGGTGGCGGCAGCGTGCCCCAGATTGCCGACGTCCAATCACAGAGCAGTGAGCTGCCAGGCACTGACACGCAAGCCGGCTTAGGCAGCCTGTATGCCCAACAGTTAGCCACTATGGTAGACATCAGATGGACATGCATATCCTTAAACAAAATCCTTGTTTCAGTTAGGTTTTTCTTGTCTTCTTTGAACTGAGTATCCTATTCAGTGCTGAAAATCACTGATCTCCCAATGGTCCCAGTAAACAAGAGTATAATAATGCATGTATACAAAACACATAAAAGTGCAAAATTAAATATGGGTAATCTTATTTTACAAGATGAAGTCAATATCATTTAAAAATAGAAATTTAAAAATGGCTGAAAATTTTATGACAAAATCTTAACACAAAAGTTGAATAGGTCAGAGTGTCCATCAATCACCGATAATTACCAAGTTAATCAGTCAGCTTTCAAAATGTCAGAAATTAAATGTGGGGCTGTGTGAAATTGTGCAGAAATCAGTTTAATGAGATGCATATAAAATCCAATTGATTGAGGTGGCGCCATACTTGTGCGCATGCCACATGCATTTTTTAACTTGAGTGGAAAGCCATTTTAGGTTTTAAATGATTAATATAGACCACTTGTCAGTAAGACTCATAAAAAATGTCATAGTTTTGTGCATTTAAAAGTAGAAAGATGCACATATCTTCCCTGAGAAAATCTGTGTCATGGACCCCTGTCATCAGTAGACATCAGTTTAATATGCCAGCAACAAATCCTCTATGATTTCTGTCTCTTTCCTTGACCAACTCGTCCACCCCGCCTTGAAGAAGTCCGGTCTGGCCACGCTGGACCACCTGGAACTCTCTCCGTCCATGCTGGATCACGTGCGCACCTGTCCCATCCACTGGCAGGTCTGTCTGGAGGACAGGCTAGTCAACACTGACAGCCAGGCTAGCTTCCCTGCAGGACAACCGCTGAGCGTGGAGGTCACCATCACCAATAACATGGGTAGGTTGCAATCGCGGTAACTTCTGTCGTATAATAGATTGAGTGATGCAGCCTTTGCCATCACTGACACCTGTTGTGTAAAATTCCTTACCACACCGTTGGAAGTGTCTCATATTAAAGAAGAATGTAAGCATGCAACTAAGCTGTATTCGTAAATACCTGGGACAGTTTTTCTAGTCCTGTTGGTCAAAAGGTGACCGTGTATTAACATTAGATAATGAGTGCTTAGAAGTGATAATGCCTGCTGCATAAATCATGCGCTGGCACATGTATATGAGACAATTGAATTGGGTCTGGAGTCTGTGTGCACGCAACGCGCCTCGCCTGCACTAAGTTTATTGAAGGGGATTCTTTTAGACAACTTTCAAAAGGAATATACCATAAAATGGACAGGGGGGTTCCGGAAAATGAAAGTGAAGTTTTAGAACAAAATCGTTGGAAATCGGTGATTTGTTTTTACCCTCTGAATAAAAAGGTATTTATGAATGGGAATAAATGTGTGCTTGGCCAGTCTTAAACTAATGTTTAAGACCTTGCTCAGGAGAACAAACTCTGGGTAGTTGCATCCATTTTCCTGAGCCAGTCTTAAACACACATTTAATACTGGTGAAGCACATGTTTATTCCCTTATTTTGGATCAGTTTGATGATCGACAATTCATCCTTTTTGCTTCTCCTTTTATTACATTGTTAATATTGGTGAGTTGCCATATTGTATCAATCTTTTTTGTTATCTTGTGGACGTTTTTATTATTGCCCATGAAAATCTAATGTTTTACAGCATATTGTAATGTTTGAGATAGAATCAGCTCTTCAGAAAATAAACGAATAAACAATATGAAGTAAAATGAAGTGGTATGTAAAATGGATGGGTTGTCATTGTGATCACCAATGCAGCTGTTGCCATAGTAACCAGCAATATTGAGAAATTGTAATCATGGTAGCCAAGAGTGTGGATAAGGTGTAGTCATGGTTGTAAGAAATATCCGGAACATGTTGGCGTCAAGGAATTGTGAAGATCAGGTTTTTTGTTAACGTGCTGTGGACTTCAGCCTATTCAGAAGCCTTTCTTTGTATTGTGAATCTGGAGGAATATGGAGGCATTACTTTCATGTAGAATTAGATTTGTGCATTCGAGTCTTCAAGGCATGTATGTGCAACCAAAACCTCTTTGTATGCTACTTTCAACTTTGACAAATATTTTCAAAGGATGCATCTAAACAGTGATTCAGTTTAAACTGCCAAGTAAGAAAATACTTGAATAACTAGTAAATACCATTGACTTGTCTTACGTTCTGCTGCATGTTTTCTGTTATGGTTTGAAAATTGTGTGGTTAGTTGTATTCACAGAGCATGTAATGGAATTAGAAAGTTTCCTTCGATAAGAACCAAAAAAGAAACCAAGCATTCCTTTTTTCCCCTTTGAAAGATGAGGCAACAGGCAGGTTACAGTTGTTGGTGGAGCCGTACATAGATCACCAGAATGGAACCAGGGAGGTCAACCCCCAGGACAAAGTGGTTTGCTCTGGAAGCTGCAGTATTAACAGTGACAAGGTAGATCCCATGCTCATTTTCAGGGTCGGCATTCGTTCAACTTTAATCACCAACTGTTATACATGCACATGTCTAAAAGACACAGAACACTTATTATTTACTTCTCTTTTTTAATACATATACATGGTATCTTTGCTCTTTTTGCACAATTGACAACTGTGCTTAAGTCTATTTAATGTGAAACATTACTAATTTTGATGATGCTGGGGCGGGATAATTATCATTTTTTTTTTGAAAATTCTTCACTTTAATACTGGACACTAACACCCACACTAAGGACTGTCTGGTTTCTACTCTAAACTGACAGACAAAATCTATTGACGCCTGAGTATTTCAGCCAGGCCTGCTTCCTTGTAAAAAGAGCCCGGATTGTGCGGTGTTACGTAACTTTCTTTTGTTCACGAACCTGGCACAGTGCACTGCTGACCTCTTTTCAATAGGATCCAGATTAGCATGCAGCGGTGCTGTGTGGCTTATCGCTGCGGTGGTGGAGCACTTTTGTTCCCAGTGGTAATCTGCTTGCACTAAATGCCCAATACCGTAGTATACTGTTTCAAAACAAGGCTGGATTATCTCCACTATTGAGAGTGAAAAATGTCGGTAATGCCCAGCAGCCTGGTCTTTTGTTCCCGAGTACGGTCTTTTGTTACAAGGCCCAGTTCCCTTTGTCCGACTTCAGAGACCCTGGCCATGCGTATAAAGCATACGTGTCCGGTACCGGTTAACTGCATCACTTAACAGAGTCTGGGTGCTCCACTACAGGAAGATTCTACTTCCTCTTGATGTCACCCCCTTTTTGCACCTACTTCTTGAAATGAGACAAGTTATAATTTAAAGAACATTACTAATGTAATTTAGCAATGTAATTTTCAAATTGTTGCAAAATGGAAATAAAAAACAACAAATCAACCTGTAAGGCCACCAAACACATATGAACTGCCTCAAATAAAGGATTCAGATTCCTCCTCCAATCTCACCCCTGTTAACAGTTAGAGGCTGAACAGTCCCTGACACACACCTCATCCTTCATCTTCCTCTTTCCTGGCCTCTACAAGTTCAACATCACCTGCACGGAAATGGAACCTTCCCAGCTGGACCAGGCCCCTGTTGTGGCTCCCATCATCATTGAGGAAGATACCATTTTCACTAAGAGGGAGGGCCAGTCATGGAAATACCGTCCTGCTCTGGAAGTGATGATAACATAGATGAGACTTTTAAACAAAATGTCAAGAGGGGAAAAGGTCTCAGTATATTATGAGTGGTATTTTCCTTTCTCAATATGCCCTTATAAATAATACCACATTAGGCATTCAAGACTCAATTATTGTAAAAAAAAAAAAACCAGTTTTAAACGTGTCAATGTAATTTACATGTAAAAACATTTAAAAAATAATAAAGTCAGCGTCTACCAATTTGGACATTTTTGAAACTTTCACAAAAGTAACTGTATTTGATGATTTTATCATGGAATGTGTACAAAGTATTACAAAGGATATAAATTACGTCATATTTATATTTATGGAGTGAACTTGTAATGAACTTCAGTAATTGCCACAATCTTTAAACAGTTTTCGCTTAAAGTTTTTTAGCGTCATTTATGGAAGCAATTCGTGTCTCCATGGCAGAATAACCCGGCCTTGTCTCAGAAGTTTCAATATGACATGTTTGGTGAAGAAAACTACCAAAGTAATCAGATATTGAGGGTCAAAGGTTAATACCAACTACATGTACTCAGAAAGGGTCAAAGGTCAGTGCCAACCAATTGTAGGTGAAAAATGTTGAAGTCTGCTATTGATTTTCATTATGCAAAAGTAGGTCCAGGGACCGGTGTCTAATTTGCTTGGTTTGGGTCCAAAATGGTAAATGTTGCAAATAACCATTGTGTCCTGTTACACACATTCTTGTACCCACCACTTGGGTCTTGAAAAGAAATTTATTTGAAATAAAACCCTCTCCAACTTGACTTTTGTTTTTTATGTAAGGCACTAAGACATCAAAATGCCCCCAAAATCCTTTTCATTTTATTTGTGGTACATTTGGAGCACTGTCAAATATGCAAACATAATTGTTCTTTGTGTTGAATTTCCTATGTGTGTGTGGTATACTTCAAGAGCGTTTTTCCAGGATGCCCATGTGTAGTGATTGTACCATCCATGTTTAAGTTGCCTAGATTAGCCAGGAAGTAATTATGTAACAATAAATATGGTGTCTTGTCCCCAGCTGCATGTCCTGACCGTCCTACCTATTCATGTTTCAGGGCTATTGTTACCTTGTCCAATCTGGAGAATAAGTATGGTTCCTGGACACAGTCTGCCTGCACATTATGGCTTCACCATTAATGCTCCAGTGCCACTTACCTGATGGATTATCAAAAAGTGGTGTCTGGACTTCTTCCTTGTATTTTCGTATGCATCAGGATATTATCCAGCAACCAGACTCTTTTTTGTTTCTTTTGGATTATATATATGCAGCAAGGTATGAGACGGAGAGAACCCCCCCTGCTTTGTGTTGGTCATTGTCTGGCAGGAATCTGGGGAATTCCTTTCAGACATCTTGGGGGATGTGTTAAGTAACAATAGTCTGGAATGTGTATAGGGATTGGATATGTTGGGGGGTACCCTNAGCTTGAATTGTATAATTTGCATGAGGAATGCCTGGTATTGCATGAAACAATACTCAAAATTGATTGTATATTTGTCCATTGTTGGCCTTAACCACCTCTCGTCTCATACTTTTTCTTTTAACTCATATCGTTCACAGGCAAAACAATTGTTGATGCTGAAGAAAAATCCTACAGAGTTCATCTTCTGTGTTAACACACCTCAATTTTTTTCGCATTCAGTAGTTTATTCCCCGAGTTCCTTTAATTTTTGTCTGCATTTTCTTCCATGCTAAGCTATTTGCAGTTACAGAGTTGACTTAAACCCTCTCGGATAGCTAAGATTGATGTCATAATAGTAAAAAAGTTGCCTAAAAGAAAGAAAACAAAACAAAAACAAGCACCCCTTGTTAGTAAACTAGCTCCACCCCAAAAGTGGCTACCAGTAATTTCAATCATACTTTCATTTTCGTCATTCAGATATTGCTTTTCTGTACATCAAGTTCCCATTTGGAATTTTTTTCTATGTAACCTTGTTTTCCTAACCAACCAATGTAGAGGAGCTACTCCCCTCCAAAAATCCTGGTTACATGCATTCTGCACTCTCAACCACCTTTCTACGTACATTTTCCATCCGTTAAGTTTTCAGGCCTGTGTTTAAACTGTTGGTCTAAGTGTATTGGGCATATAAACCCGACACTGACAGTGTATTTTAATTTTTAAAAAAAGAGTCAGCATTTTATGCATCGTGCTTGTTATATTTTTCATGCTGTTTACTTGCTTGGATATTGCTGATGAAATGCTGAAATACTTTACTTTTTACTGAAACTGTGGAAATCATTTATGACAAATTTACTTCAGTGGAAAGTTTAGCCGCATATTAACCAACATGATAAAATGATGTGCTGAGCATTGACGACAACCACATCAAATTGATTCTTTGTGCTGTAGGTATAGTTGAGCTCAGGTCTGAAACTGAGGCGAAAACTTTTTTTCAACCCAACTTGTCCACTCTAGTCAAAGTTTCAAGTCAGGCCCAATTCTAGCGTGGCCTAGGTTGAATGTAGACTTGAGTCTGGATTCTTGTCTTTGAATGTCATAACCATCTGACGTCTCATGTGATAACTTGTTATTTCCGAAGGTGAGTCTGTGAGTCCAGGACCATTAAAAATTGTTAAAATTGAGGGTCAAATTTGGGCCGGAGACCAAGCTCAGTTGGAATGACAGAAGATATAATAGTTATTTGTAAAATGTACGGATTTTCTCATTTTTTGTGCGAGTAAGAAGGCAACATTATTACTTCCCCTACCCATCGTTCCCGTAAAAAAAATTCCCAAGGACCATCTGAGGTCCCTCATTCAGCTCAGTGGGCCTTAACAGCACCTGATGTTAATATAGTGTTGTAGTCCGGTACATTTTAACAAGTGCTGAAATACAGTGCCTTGTGGAGACCCAGGACAATAGGTTGAAAAGGTCTCCGCAGGGAAATTCTAAAGGTATAAAAGTCTCCACAAGGATTTTGTTTACGTTTTTTCATTTTTCTGTTTTTCCATAAAGTGCAATGATCAGTTATTGAATTGCGCTATTTAAGCACTTGTATCGTTATTGTATTTTATTATTATTTCTTAAAATTAATTTGGAAATTACTCAAAAAGGATAAATTGAAGCATTTTATACAAGGGACATGCAGTTGAAATTTCAACCCAGGTAAGTAACTCTGGCTCATTCAGGAGCATTGTGAAAAATGGTGTTTCACATCGAAGTGTTTTAGCACACAACAAAGCATTGTCTCCATAAGGATACAAATTCCAGTACCGGTACGGCGGTGCGTGTACACGAATGTAACTACAAGTACAGGTACTTCCACATGTGTACTAATGGAGTATCTCACTGTGAGTACAAGTATCAGTACATCATCATGAGTATGAGTACATTTGCAAAAGTATCAGTTCGAGTTCCAGAAAAGTACTCAAGTACAAGTACCCACAAAATTGTGTAAATTCTCTCCTTTAACTGTTGTCTTGATCTGTTGCCATTACTGTCAGGCAGGAATGCCACCTGCAAACTCTGAATATCATGGTCACAAATGTGCAAACTCAAAAAAGTCCAATTTCTGGCTTCTTAAAAACTGCAGTATGCTCAAAATGTGGGCAAGATTTGAATTGTTCGTCAATGTTTGTACTCTAGCAGTCTTCATCTAGTTTTCTCTGTGCTTGTCTTTTGCTTTGGGATTTGATGTTTTGTTTTTGCTATTTTGTTTTTAATCTTTGGTTGCAAGACACGTCTACCAAACTGTCTCAGAGGGCACTTACTTTACGCACACAAGTCTAAAAAACAAAAGGAGAGTTGTGTGATGAAACCAGACAAATGACGTATCAGTGTTGATGTTGCTGCTTGAAGAAATGTAAGAACTTAAAATGTTTTATTTCCTCAATTGGAAAATTCTTTTATAGAGTTTTTAAATACCATGCTTTGAAAATCACAAAAAAATCGTGTTAAACATACTTTTACATAGCCACACAAAGTGAACGAATAAACACGTTCCTGGAATCAGACTTTCATTTCTGAAAGTGCATTTGGATCTCTATTCTTGTCTTGTGTCTGCTCTTCAGAAATAAATGGGATGGGGGATATTTCGCTTTAATTTTGTATCTTGCTTGAAAGCCTTTTCTAATTAAAGACATTGCCCAATGGGGTCCAAAAAACAAGAAAAGAAAAAGAAACCCAGTGTTTCAGCTCCCACCCCTCAAAAAAGTTAGTTTCCACCCCGCAAAAAAGTTAGTTCCTGATCTATCCTTTTGCACTAAGTTCTGTGCAGATGTTTGCCAAAAGATGTTTACTGTCTTTTGTCTTTGTTGTTTCAGTCTATTAAAGAGAGGTAGACTTCCACAATTAGAGCAGATAACCCCCATAATGAACAGTGTCTCCTGAAGTGACATCACAGAACTACTACCCTGATTTGTCTGGAAAAGCACAGAAAATTTCTACTTTGAAAGAATTTTTTTTTTTTTATTTTTAAGAGTAGAAAAACTGGAAAGTTCCAAAGTAAAATTAATCTGACCCTTCAACGCATCACAAGACTCCCACTGCACATATTTCATAGGCTTGTAGCTACTGCACATATTTCATAGGCTTGTAGATGTAAGGTGAAGTTTGTGTTAATTCTCAATTTATTAATCTCTCTTTTATGCAAGCAGATGGGCATAGGAAGCTACAATTCTTTCAGAGAAATGGCATTTTCTTGATAAAATATCTTAAAAAGCTGAATTAAGAAATGCACTTTTTTGCACACTCGGATTAAGTACATGTACTAGGTTTTTCAGTGGTGAAGTACAACAGCATCCAGTGATCGGAGTATTACATAATGGCTCAATGACCCAATTCGGTATTTCAAAAAGCCAGGGTCTTTTGGGGAACATAGCATGTGCGCAAGTCGGTGTAATGCTGCTATGATTGGACAGACTATTGTGCGCGCATAGCTGCTTCTAAATAGCCTCGTTCTGAGCATGCGCTGTTGAAATACCGAACTGTCTCATAGCTGAGCTTGGACATTTAGTCGTGAATTTTTATCTATTTAATGACAAGTGAAGAAGCATTTTGATCAAAACAGATTCTTTGAAGAAGACTATAAAAAGAATCATGTAGACCATACTCAAAGCAAAAAATGAAAAGATGAAAATCTGAAAATGGACAAGAAACCAAAAGCAAAACAAACAAACATGGCAAAAAATGATTAATGATAAAACTCCTTCCCGGAATGACCAAAAATTGACAGGAAATTCTAATCTTTTTACAAGCCTCCTAACATTCAATGGGTGAGATGATCTAATGTGATAAAGCCAACAAGCTTTGATCTGTGCTAGACTTGAGACAAAGTAGGCTATCCAAATCCAAGCTCTGTCCGTCTCCAAATGGGCCTGATTCTTATTTCAAGACTAGGGCTGGAGTTTTTAGCTCCACACACTGGTTAACTCTGTTTTGCTACAGGACCATGGAAATACATGTTGGCAACCAAAAAAAAAACCTTGACTGGGAAAACCAGGCATGCAACAGAGAATTCAAAAGAAGTGAAAATTCAAAACGGCATAAGGCTGTACGATATTTTTCAATTTGCAATGGCGTAATAAACTGTAAAATTAGGGGAAATCAACATATCTGACGGAAAGATAAAAGTACATGCCTTTGAACCAGTGGTATTTTCAGTGAGAGGGCACGTGGTGGCTGAGGAAACCTCCATTTCCTCAAACAAGGAACACAAAATTCTATTACAGGAGCCCTTCAAGTTAAACTGGGGCTAACATTTCCCTTGTTCATCTGCCAACTGTCAGCTCTTGTGTTCATACAACTATCACACTCCCTGTTGCTCTTAAACAATCTACATCATAGCACACAACTCATCGTGAAGGCAAGTATGAAAGTTAACAAGATTACAAAACTGAAAAGTCAGATAAAATATTCGTGTAATGAAGTTGTGCACATTTCACTGCAAAAAACATATCTTGTCAAATTTGCTTTGCTTTTGTGTTTGTCCAAGGTATGAACCGCCCTTTAAACCACGGGCCATTTACCGAGGGATGTGCAACCGTGAGCGGCCCCAGTACAATCACATGTGTGACCTTGGTTCCATGCGTGTTACGGATTGTTATTACCCCCGCAGGCGCTCTCAACTTTCTCGAGAAACCTCCCAACCACATGACACGCGTTGTAGCATGCAGCATGTACAGTGCAGCTGTGGTTATGCCGAGACGACGCGCCAACGCGGTGCTTAAATCTATTTGTTTTGACGAATAAATCTTCTCCATTTATCGATTTCAAGGAGAAACGAAGTTTTATTGAGGCAAAATTCCCCAATTTTGTGGTACACTTTTCTCAGAATGAATAGGATGAAATATCTTGAGCAGCATATTTTTAGAAAGGGTGTACCCTGACTTAAAATATTACAAGAAAACAAAGTGGTAGACAGGAATATATGTTTTATTATTAGAGAAAGTGTTACATAATCCAACTTAATTTCTGCTTTGATATTGTGCCAGCCTTAACACGCACTGAACCAGCTCTGAGCTTAAGTTGCACATCCCTGGGTAAATGATCCGTGTTTAAACACACCAGTACTCGTAGCATTCAAGATTAGAAGAAATTTCAGTGTTTACAGCAAAAGCTATCAGAAAAAGATTGCACATAAATCAAAAACAGAGACAATAAGGAAATGCTGGCAACAGGTACAGATTGAAGACCTTTTCATATTTTGTCAGTCACACCAGGAAATGACCTATCTTATGAATAAGTAAAGCCTATAAACACCATGGGAAAACCCTTCCATGAAGTCACTTTGTGGTGTGTTTCACCACAATGGGTCATTTCCGGGTATGACCAATGAAGTGTGACTCACCATGCTAAAACCAGGTTGAAGTCGGTAATATTGACATTTAACAATTCTCCCCCTTCAGCTGATTTCATGTTTCAAAATAATCCCAAGTATAAAGTTTGTCAGCAGAAAGCTTTCGTACATGTAGTTAAGAGCAACAAAAGTTCTGACATTGTTGGTGTGTTAAAATGGTAACATATCCCAGATGACAGCTTCTAATTCTTCAGCCTGGCTTTGAAATGGTGAGTTGAATGTCCATAGAGGCGCTATCCAGCATGTGACCTAAATGGAGTCATTGGTCAGAACCAAGAATTTGGATTGGTTAACAGCTGTCAGATGACCTATGCATATTCTAATTTGTTCAACTATGTACCTCTTGGCAAACACAATGGCAACCTCCGAAGTTCCAAAAGTCCCGTCACTGAAATTCAAAAATCTACTGAAGCCAAATAAAAACTAGATAGCCTTCAAACTTTTTTACACAATAGATACATCTCCTCATATTACATTTGAACAGGACCTGAACAAAACTAGGCTGTTTACCATTCTTTCCATTTTTTTGTACTTGATCTCTTTACAGACAAAAGTAAAACTACGGCTGGACTTTGGTACAGAAGCAATAGATATTTCATTTTTCTAATAAAATCAATCATCAATAAAAGAACTCTGTGCATATCAACTACAGACTTGTTTATTTTCTTTAGGAAAATAATTAATACTTGCATTTCAATCCTTATTTTGCTATTTCATTCAATATTAATGTTTTAGGGTGTATATTTCATATTCCATGGCAACATATGTATATTCCATCCATATATCCCACTTTATATACTATGCTGCTTAATATAGATTTAGTATAGCAAGTTAAATCACACTGATATCATTGTCAGAAAAAAATGAATCTGAGTACTTTTCCAAAAGTTTATAGGCAATTTCATACAAACTTGAGAGATTTAAATACATTTATTGAGCAGTTTTACAGGTAATTATTTTCTCACAGTCCAAACTCCTTCAAAGTCACTTTTTACCGGCTTAGAAAGAGCAATCATATGGTGCCAGCCCCCATGGGGGGGGGAGGATTTGTTTGAGAAAGTTCCAGGGAAGGCTGTGCCAACCTGACCATGATTTACAAGCCTGTGTCAAGGGTCACAGGTCATCTTTTCATCGGCGAAGTTTCTTGATCATCTTCAGGGTCTTCATCATCATCGGTGCGACGATTTTGGCCGCTGCGGATAGGAAGAGAGTTAATCATTTGAGAACATTCAGTACTTTACTAAACAAAGTTTCTGATATTAGTTTTTCAGCTGTAGGCTCTGCGCCAATGACCCGGCTGTGACTTCGAGTAAAATGGACATCTACGGCAAGTAGCTGTAGCCATAAGGTAGCCAGTGGCTTCTTTTGATGCACGTGTAATTTCCAGCCACGACTTTTAGTGCCAGAATGGGTGAGGTCATTCATGACAGCGGACAAATGGGCTTCATTTTTTCCACTTTCCATAAGTATGTGTAGGACAGCCAATTCATCAAGATTTCCAATTGTCAATGGAGTAGAAATCTGGTTGCTAAGCGTACAAGACTTTTCAGATCAAGGCTGCAAAAATAAGGTAAAACACGGCAAATAGAACACACTCTTGGCAATTCTGGAGACTGCAACACACACAGAAATGTAACAGACACTTCTGACACAGACTGAGACACACATGAAATGGAATCCACACACAGCACTGAGCGAGGAATCTGTTGTTAAGAGGCGAGGGGGGTGATTAGAATGGTGTGACTGAACAGGGGCTCCACGATGAGTAGGAACCGAGTTTCCTCTTACGTCTGGCCCGTCTTCGCTGAAGGCCTGACGCCTCAGCCTCACTAGAACTGATGACCACGGACGACCGGTCGGGCTGGACAGTGCTGTGTGAGCGCTTCTCTGGCATGAAAGTCCCCGAGGCTGTGCCGTGTCGCAGCTGCTGACGCAGCACATTGCGCGGTGGCTTGGCCGGACGGTCCAGGAATGCCATTTTAGTGAGACGGCCTGCAGAGAAGTTAACAATGCCAGAAACATGTGACCCAACCCAACAAATGAGTCGTAAGTATCAACAGGAACCTTCGATTCTTTTCCCTTAAGTAATGCCTATCTTCATTATGATGCCAACGAAGTGATATATCAACACAAATATATTAGTTTACTCTTTCCAATGCAAATGTGATATTCCAAAAAGGAGCGTCCTAGGAGGGAATTCCTAATATTCAAAACCTACGTACATTAGGACCACGCTATCTACTCCATCTGGCTCTAAATTTTCCTCAATTTCTGCAGTCCCACTCAGGTGACATATACGTGTATGATTACCTCAAGATATCTGAGGTAATCAACGACCTTCTTCTAACTTCTAAAAACCACTCCTTTCTTCACCGTCTCCCCTTTACAGCTGTCTCAACGCTTGCCAGCTACAGTGCCACAGGCACTTTGGAGGAATCTCCGGTTTCATTACCAGAGATAAACAGTGACCACTCAGCAAGGAAATGTCTAATTGAGCTGGTCTAGTATCCATCCGTTTGTTAGAGCCAGGCTAAATGACATACCTGGGTCCTTGGCTGCCATATGAGCTGAGATGTTAGCTGTAATTGATTTCAGCTTGGCTTCTCTGGCATCATACTCTCTCTGAACAAAACGGATAAAGGTGCTGAGATGATCAATTGACTCATGATTTAAACTGTGACTCAATAAAGTGAATTACATGCTGAGCATCAAATCAAGTAATAATTATATGTTGAGCTACGACTCAAATCAAGTTAATTATATGTTGAGCTACAACTCAAATCAAGTAAATTATATGTTGAGCTGTGACTCAAATCAAGTAAATTATATGTTGAGCTGTGACTCAAATCAAGTGATATAAAACTTAAGCTTTGACTTGGAACTCTACCTGACCTCAACCCAGAGTGACTCTCAATAAACAATTTTTCTGCAATTCAGCAAAGGACGAGTCCTGAGATTGAGTATTTTTCTCGACTTACAATGTAAATTTCTCTCCAGGACTCCATTTCATCTGGCTGCTTGCCCTTGAACTCCCTCTCAACGTGTTTCTGCCAAAGCGGATCGGTGTCTTCAAGAAAATGCTAGGGGAAAAGGATGGTGTCTATCGCAGTCAAAATATTGACAAAAGACATCGTGTGATGCCAGTAACTGAAAAAAAAAGTTATTCTGGACTAAGTCACAGACATAAAAGTTTACAAATACCCAACTACGAGTCAGGTTGGCATAGCGGTTCTTTCCTCACCTTCCATCTTTGCCTCCAGGGTTCAAATCCCGGCCCCGTCCACATGCGGATCAGGTTTTCAGTCCCTCCCTAATTCAGCGGGTTTTACCCAAAATATCCCTGAGGCGTTTTCCTCCCTCCTCTGAAACTGTGACTGTGGCTTAAATGCTACCGTGCCTAGGGCACTTTTGAGGAATCCTTGGTGTCATTACCAGACACGATTAATAATAATAATTAATAATAATAAATATGCAGACAGAACTTTTGAACTTCTACCATTAAAGGGTTTACATTTTTCAAAACTGTTTTCTTATGATCTTGCGAACAGTGATACGTCACATTTTTATCCAAGCATTTATGCATCGACTAAAACAGATCACAAGTGGTGTCATAAAGAATCTGGCACCAACCGGATTACAGTCCTCCAGGTGGAACAGCTGCTGTGGAGTGCACTTTTGTAAGACGGGGTACAATATATCATAGGGCACCCCACCTACATCATCCAAGGCTAAATACAAAACAGAAAGAACAAAAGAAAAGTTAAAACTTACACTCTTTGGAGTTAATTCAATCATCACGTGTTTACATGAGAAACAAATTAAATATTGCTAAACGGGCCATTCAAAAACTGAAGGAAGATGAGCACAAAATTCAAATCTGACAAGAACGGGAGAATAATGCTCAACGCTCAAAGAGAAACGTCGCAAAAGGAAAGTAAACCTTAAACACTGGACTTCCCAATGACAGCAATGTGTGTCACAAACAGGAAAATTAGATTTCGATGGAACAAACCTGAAATATACTCACCATCTATGTTGTCACAGAGCATTTCCATGCATATGTCATATAACCGTGGAACACCTGAAACCAATACAGTAAATTGTAACACATTCTTCGTAACCCTCAGCGGTGACAATAGGTTTGGCTTCAAATCCAACAAAGTAAAATTATATCTAAAACAGGTTTTGTGTCTGGAAGATGTTAATTGACACTAGGTTGTTTTGCCCTTCACTGTTGTATGTTTATAAAAATTATGTTTTCAATGTATGGCACAGTATGTGCCAAATTTCTTTTGTTCCACATAAAATTTCAAATATTGTCAGATCCTAAAGTGGTCTTAACCACTTGATGCTGGGTGTAATTTGAAGTTGCATGACGTAAAACCGGGTGATTTTCAAGATTTTCCATTTTCAAAATTCTTCCAAAAAATCCTAGCTTCGTTTACTGGATGTTAACACCCATACTAATGACTGTCTGGTGGCAACTTTAATCTGACAAACAACATCTATTGACGCCCGTGTATTTCAGCCAGGCCAGCCGCCTTGTAAAAAGAGCCCAGATTGTGCAGTGTTATGTAATTTTCTTTTGTTCCCAAAACTGGCACAGTGCCAACTTGCGTCTTTTCAAAAGGGGCCAGATTAGCATGCAGCGGTACTGTATCGCTCATCCTAAAAGAAGAACTTTCTTAAAAATGGATTTTGGACAACTTTTGAAACAGTCCCTAAATGTATTTACTTGTGAGCCGATTGATTCGGGATCGTCCAGAGAAGACTTTAGTCCGTCCCTGCTTGGAGGCAAGATAAGCCATCTCCTCCTCAGGCGTCAGAGCTACAAACACAAAACAAACAGCATTTTAATGTTGTTTTGAAAGCCTTGGATTTTTTATGAAGAAATGTGGGGTCATTTGCAAAGCCCTCCAAAAAGCAGCGTTACTTGATCATGTATCCTTTTCAGGTAAAACTTAACTCCTTTGGGCAACTGATTTTTATCAAGAGTATTTATCAAGAGACTATGACAAAAGCCTGATCTCTGCAGAGAAATGATGAACATTTAGTCAGCTTACATCTCTTCTTCATTGGAGATGGTACCTCAGGAAGACGTATTGGTTTGTAGTTAGGCTGAATTTCGGGCAAGCTCAGCGATACTTCTGTCGATTCCCTCCTCACCTGATGGAATAAAACAACACTCAGGTTACTGAAAAGAAACAATTTTAACTACATGATGCAGTAGTCAAGACAATCACAAGACTACAAACACAAGTGGTCACAAGCAACTTGGGGAGCAATGATAAAGGAATGCTTTTGTTGCAGTTCATTTGAATAGCTTGCGACTTGAAGTCAGACTGAAGGGGGTATATTGGTTGTGTGATGGTCTTTTGGGATTTCATGATGGATGTTTCTGGTCTTGTGACGGTCATAGTGGACTTTGGCGATCACAAAAAAATCACACTTGACAGATCTTGGTCTTTGACAAGTAAAATTTTCATTTTTTTTTTTTTACCTTTTTGGCCATTTTAATGGCTTCCTCCTCTTCTTCACTTATACTCCTTTTCTTCCTGCTCCGCCGACCTTCTTCTGACCTCTGACCTCCCGACAAACTTTCTGAGACTGCCTGCTTACCCTGGAGGCTCTTCTCCTTTTGTGAGCTTTTCACGTTCACCTTTGCCCTGCTGGGGTCAGTTTTGTTACCTTTGACCTTCGCCCTACCAGGGTCAGACGAGGAAGTACTGGCTGGTTTGGCACTCGCCTTGCCCACTGTTGAGGGTTTAATAGGGCCGGTGCTGGTGGGCATTTTCAAAGAAAGTTTTGAAGTTGTGGGTGGCTTATTTTTAGTGACTTTTTTGACTTTGGTTACCATGGGACCCAGCAGGCAATCTCCAAATGACATTCCAGAGTTATTGAAATTCTGCCCATCTGACTCGTCGTCCAAATTATCCGTCTTTACGTTGTCATCCTTCAGCTTTTTGTTGCTGCTCGGTAGTTTGGATTGAGGTTTGTTGAAACCTTCCTGCTGCTGCATTGATGCTCTTGGCTTGATCTTGTCGGACAAATGTGATGCTGATTTTCCCTTGTTATCTGTTTTGGTTGAAGTTGATTTCTGAGACACAACTTCGCCGTTAGTAGTCAAGTTCTCCTTTTTGATAGATTTTGTCACTTTCTTTGGATTTGATTCCAGCGTCAACTCCACATTAGCAGTTGTATATTTTTCTGTTGTGGTATTTTCTTTCCAGTCAGTTTTTTTGCTACTGACAGAATTGTATTTGTCATGAGATTTGTGACTATGCCCAGAATGGAGTGTTTGTTTATACTCTGAAGATTTCTGTACTCCAATTATGGCAGCTTTGTTATGCGATCCATCATGTGACCTGTCATGCGACCTATCATGTGGCTTGGCTGAGTCTGTCACAGATCGCTTATCTGAAGAAACATGGCTTTTGGGTTTCCCACCAGTTTCCACGTCTCTCTTATCATGTGACTTGGCCGTTCCACTTACAGGGGAGTGATGGCTTTTCAATTTCTTCACAGGACTCCCACTGGAGGAAGAGGGCTTCTCCTTCAGTTGAGTGTATTCTCTTGCGGATGAGGCATCGTTGCTCTGGTGCTTCCGTTCAGTGGCAATCTTGGAAGAACCCTGGGATTTGGGGGAGCCGTGCGTCGACGTGTAACAACTCGTCTGCGATAACATTTTCGAGTTGGACGGCCTGTGTGGTTTGGAGACATCCTGTGACCTCGGCAAGCTGTGGGCATACGGGCTTTGCTGCTTCGGAGGACTGTGTAACTTTGAAGCTGCATTGGACCGAGGAGACGATTCTGTTTGGGTCGGCATTTCACTACCCTCTTGCCTGTTGGCCTCTTCATGCATGGCTTCCCGCACCATGGCTTTCCAAGTCCTCACCAGGCTGCGCGCCGTTTCAGCAATGTCGCCCTCATACTTGCGGAATCCATTCACAACTTTGCCGATTCCTGTTTCCTGTAGGAATATTTTATAGAACATCAAAAGAAAAGTTTTACAATTCCTGCAAACCTGTTTCTGCTGCAAGTGGATCTGATAAAACCAAAAAGGGACCAAGTTATGAAATTTCATTGTTGGCATCCCCTGAGGGAACACAATTTTCTGAAGGCAATTTTCAACTAAACAAGAAGTTCACAGTACTTTTTTGGATTCTTAGAAAAAAATGCAAATTTATGGCTTGTGGGAAGGGCTTCTTAATCAGAGCAAGTCTTGATCAGAGATACAGTCTAAACCGGACTTGCTGAAACAACTGTCCGTTCTGTACTGGTTAAGGTTATTATGCCCAGCTTTAAAAAGTCATGTGGATTGCTACTTACATGCAATACATCGATGGACATAGGCAACTCTGATAGTTTTTGGAGAATCCTCAAAATCTACAAAAGCGAAGAACAATTGACTTTATCAACACTGACTTAATCATTTATCACATTCTTTATTACCGGGAATACATGTAAGTACATCTGTCCTTGATGAGAGGGGACTGCCAAGTTATGGTAGTTAATTAACCAAACTTCTGATGTGTTTATGTATTTATTGTTGCATTATTTTCACACGAATATACAAGGGCTGTCCTACTTAACCAATTGCTGTCGGGTGCCTTTGGAAATGCAGCGTCTAATGCCGGGCGATTTTCAATATCTTCGGTTTTCAAAAATCTTCCAAAATTCATATCTTTTTTATCCAGAATGCTTAAACCCCATCGAGTGACTGTCTGGTGGCTACTTTAATCTGACAGACAACATCTATTGACACCCGTGTATTTCAGCCAGGCCTGCCATCAAAATGGTCCACATTGTGCGGTGTTAAGTAATTTTCTTTTGTTCCCGAAACCAGCACAGTGCGCTGCTGGCGTCTTTTCAATAGGGGCCAGATTAGCGTGCAGCAGTATTGTATCACTCATCACTGGACCGCTGGAGCACTTTTGTCCCCGGTGGCAATCCGCTCGCACTGAATGCCACAAACAGTGGTATCATCTTTCAAAACAATGACGGATTCCTCCACTACTGACAACTGAAAAAATGTTGGCAATTCCCAGCAGCCCAGTCTGTTGTTCCGAGTACTGTCTGTTGTTACAAGGTCCAGCTCTTTTGTCCAATTTCAGGCACCCCGGCTATGCGAACAAACCCAAGGTACCCTGTACCGGGCACCCCGGCACAAAAAGGTTAAGACGTTGACTGCCACGCACAATTTCACAGGGTGTTACCATTCGCCTAGTGTTGTAAGCATGCGTGCATATTTAATAGGTACCTTTCAGGTGTCTGTTTGAACATGATCATTTTACAGGTGTATGTCCTCAATACTGCCAGCAGTGTATTCGTTGTGCTCTCAGTGATGCCAGTGTATCAATTTATTTCACAACAGCCTCTCATTGTCACACCTGTGACAACGTGTACACTTGTGGGGGACAGTCAACGTGTTAATAGCGTAATTTAACAGGACCTGAAATCTCTGATTTTTGGTATTTTTGGCTGGCCGCCCAACTGCTTGCACCACCCACTCACCCTCTACAAAGGAAGGAATTAAGCAGTTATCATTGACATGTATCAGTTTCATGATCATGCCAGTTGCTAAAAAACTAAAAAGGGTGAAACTGGACGACGGCAAATGACACTCTTTCTTTCACAATTACCTTATGATGTGGTGGGGGTGGGTCGGCAGACAACTTATCACGGAGCAACTGAACAACTGACACCACACTGATTTCCGCCATGGTAGCTCACTACACTTGATCCGTGATGCATTAAGGGGTCAAGAGGTCAGCAAAGAGGTCAGGGGTTACTTTAAATCTGTGAAGGTGCCAGTAGCAGATCCTAAGTATTAATAGAGCACAATCTCATTTGAAATGTACCTCAGTTCACTTTGCAAAAACGTGACACAAACTTCAATACAATGTTCAAGTCTGAACTTGAACCTGAACAGAAAATAATTGAAATTGGAACAAAATGATCGCACAGGCCCTGGGAGTGTAATAAATAGCAAAGATGACACAATGCAGAAATAACATCAGGAGTAAAATATGTTATGATCCTTTTCATTGCCAACTGTACATGTGTACTGTTCCAGACCATACATATCAAACATGAATGAATAACTTCCTGACAAAAAATGTCAGAATATGTATATGCAAAACGGCCAAAATGTTGGATTGAAACAATCAGTCTCCAGTGCTGGTCAATCATGCCTCTTCTGCTTCTGCTTTATTCTGTAAACAATGCTCCACTGGAGTACTGGGCCTTCCCGGTAACCAATGGGTCCTGTAGAAATCAAGGAGTGACCATATTCTTTACTTCCTCGTTATTCAAAACAATCTCCTAGGCGCACGAAAATGAAATGAAAATTGATACCTGATGCACTGTCATCAATAGATGGCAGACTGATTGACTGATAGCAGAAGAACATCCACAGATAGCAAGGTCTGAAACTGAAAAGTATAAATAAATGCACTCTCAGCGTCACACAGCAGCGGTACCATAGTACACTTGGCATGCTAGTACTAGGCTAGACTGACTTTTGCCACATGCCACACAGGATGTCTAGCCGACTAGCTGCCTTCTGAATCAAGGCTGTGGGGCCAATAAATTACAACCTAAACAGTGTTAAGAACTGCTGTTTGAGTATACTTCATTCTTCATAGTGGTTTACAGTATCTTAATTTATCAAACAAAAATTGTTATTTAAATTGACTTCTCCGCCACAAAATTACCACAGCTGCTCCTTCATCCCTGCATCCCTGAATTCGACCGAGGTGAAGAGCGCCCCCCGGAGTTGATAAAAAAACACCGAGGGCTAGTATCTTTTCTATGTATGGATTCTTTATGTGACCAAACCTGCTGTCCAAGGGCAGCAGACTACATTTTTAGGGATTCTCGAGAAATCGGTTTTTCTCGGGAATTCTCGACCGGCGCGGCTCACGTACCGTAAAGTAAGATGGCGTCCGTCGAGGTGGCATCTCGAATTTTGTTCGCAATTTTGTTGACATTGTTGGAGTCCTCCGAAGCATCAGGTAACCACTTTAAAGATGGTGATAAGGTAAGAAAGTGCCGAAATACTCTGGGTGCTTGCATTCGTAATTTAAGTATTGGACAGGGTGTAATTTCGTTGCTGTGAATAGACATTGGACATGTTGAACATGTTCTTGAACATGTTGCGGTTGTGTTGGTTGGGGAATGTAAATTTGGGGACCCTGTTCCTATAATAGTATAAAAGAAGGGAGAGTTGCATTTTAACTTTTGAATTGACCTTGGTAGATGACTGTGACATCATGCTTAATAACT